TGTTCCAATTTTCAATGTTTTCAGCTGTTTCTCTTCATTTTGAGTTGTGCTCCAAAAGCAAATGGATCTCCCTTGGGCTTTTCTCCCACAGGCTTTACTCCATTCGCATCATCATGGTCAACTCTACTTTGAGGAGGCAGCTCTTCCCCAGTTGCATTTTGAGTGCCTTCCAATCTGAAAGGCTCATTTTCCGGCACTATATCTGACAGTGTTTCTCTGCTATTCATAAGGTTTTCAGTGGCTAAATATTCAGAAGTAGTTAATCACTCATTCTTCTTAGTCTTTGTCTGGAAGCTCATCTGAAACCTGTCTATTATGTGTGACCCTGCTGGTATTTAAAATACCAGTGGCATAGCTTCCAGAATCACAGCAACTCACAAGCCACCACAGTATGACAAACTGACGGACAAGTGGTGGAGAGAACAGAAATTAGGACGTGGTTATTGGGTGATTATTTCACAGCTATGAAAAATAAGGATGGATAATCTAAAGCTCATTCTGTGTATGATGTGACAAATAAACATCTTAGAAAGCCTTCATTCTACATGAAGTCACTATGCAACCGAGATATGTACAGTGACCACCCTGGGGGAAGTCTGGAAATCTACAATTTGATCCTCAAAAGTTGTGGATGCTAGACAGGATGGTCTTAAGAAATTATTCTCTTTGTCCTCCAGACTGCTAGCTTTCTTTTAATAAAGCTTGGGATTGGATCTCTTTAAAAAAAGAAAGAAAGTTGTGGCTGCTAGAGATATAATCACTTTGTGGTTTCGTTCCTGTATTAGCAAAGTTCATGTGAAGCTCCTCTGTGGCAGTAAATCTTAATTCTATGCCTAACAATATAGAAATCATAACTACATCTCTTTTTGTACTGTAATTCTCTTAAGTGTAATCATTCTCATAATGTTTCTTTATGTATCTGAAACATATCTGGATACCTGTCATTATTGAAATAAAATACTTAATTTTCATGTATCTTCTCTGAATCTTGATTCTGAAATGTTTAAGTAAGATTTCCCTCCTTGTCTTTTAGGTCAAGTTTGTGTTAAATGGAAAATAATCTTAGTTTAATTACAATTAGAAATATATGATGATATCATTGGCTATGCCTCTCTGTAACAATATTCTGTGTCTATTTCTATCATGTAATCGACAGGAATAAAATTCATTGGGGTACCAGATAAAAATTCCATGGAAACAGTAATTGAAGAAGATGCCTTGTTCATTGTGGCAATCATTTTTGAAGACATTTTCTCTTATAAGCTAAAGTTTCGTCAGGGACTTGAAATTCCTTATCTGAGAGAAGAAGATTTCTCAGGTGACTTTCCATATAAAATGTTATTATGGCATTTTTCATGCTTACAACAAAAGGAGTAGGTTGGACTGTGTGAAAGAAAAGTTTTCAGTAGTATAAGAGAAAAAACATACATGACAGTTTATTGCTAGATTTATTCTCAGGTCAATCAGATCATCCTACTAAGGATGATGCTCAGCAAATCTTAGCGCCATCTCTGGTAGTGTAGTGGTTACGAATTGGGCTGCGAGCCGCAAGGTCAACAGTTCGAAACTACCAGCTGCTCTGCAGGAGAAAGAGGAGGCTTTCTGCTCCCATAAAGATTCATAGCCTTGGAAACTCTGTACAGGGTCGCTATGAGTCGGAACCGACTCGACGGCACTTAGCAATAACAACAACAACAACGTGTAAATATTCAGCTCAGTGTGTTCAAGGTGCAAGGGATACAAAAACAATCAAAACTGATAGATTCCAGGCTTAGACAAGATTACAGATTAGCATGAAAGACAGACATTGAACAGTTAATGACAAGTTCCAACATAGGAAAAGTATTCTGGAGACTTCAGATGTGGTGGTCCTAGCAAGCTGTGGAACCAGGGAAGTCCCACCTGGGGAAGTGATGTTCAAACTAAGATCAGAAGGAACAGCAGGTCTGAGTTACTTCAGCTAAAAGAAAGGCAAGTGTGAAGGTCATGGAGGAACATGAAGAAGAATATCATAGGAGAATGAGGTTGAAGTGACTCATTGGCTTGATCTTGGGAAGTCTTGGAAACCTAGGATGATGGATTGCCATTAAGGCATTATCATCAGGACAGAGCCATAATTAGATTTCCCAGACTTATGGAGCACCCTGGATATAGCCCAGAGAACGAAGTGTGCGGTGGTCAGGGAAATGCAATAAAACCTGCTAGTTAGTTGACCGTGGTTGCTTAGTCCAGAGAAGAGGCAGATGAGTTGGTAGGAGGCAAAGAAAGTAGGAGAAACCTTGGTGGTGCAGTGGGTTAAGTGATAGGCTACCAACTACAAGGTCAGTGGTTCCAACCCACCAGTCACTTGTGGAAGAAATATGAGGTTGTTGGCTCCTATAAAGATTTACAGCTTTGACTATTTTATGGAGTACTTTGGCTCTGTCCAATGTGGTCCCTTGGAGTTGGAATCGACCCAACGGCAGTGGATTTGGTTTGGTTAGGAAATAGAATTAATATGATTCAGAATTGTTTTCTTTTCCATTCATTCAATGAGCATTTACTGTGTCCCTCATTATTCTTAGTCCTGGGAATTGAAGTCAACAAAACAAAGAGTGTGCTTTCTTGGAACATTTTAGTCAAGGGAAGGAAATGAAGAAAAATCAATCCACAAAAGAACGCATACACAGGCACTCCATCTGTTAGTGTTAAAAGCAGCAAAGTAAAATAGGCTACTAAGAGGAGCTATTTGTAGTGATTAGGAAAACAAAAACAAAAAACCTCTGTGATGAAGTTACTTTTGAGAAGACATCAGGATGAAGATAGAATGTGTGCCATGTATCCTTCTGGAAGACGAGATTTCAAACACTTGACTCTTTGGTATTTAGAGGCACAGAAAGGAAAAGGCAATTTTTTGACTGGAGTAGAGTGACCTTTGCTTTAGCTTTTAAATTTCTAACTTGTGGTCTACATGAAGGAAACTCCCTTACTGACATTTTTAATTGGCTTCCTTCTTCTACATAGTTAGACGTTCTAACTAGTGGAGCTTTCTCCATGGAATCTTGTTTCTTATTCTCCACTCTGCCCTCATTCTGTAATGATGATTGTGTTTTGTGCTTACAGCTTATTGCTGGGAAAGTTTCTATGATTTTTCATGTACACAGAGTCACTATTGGAGCAGAGGATTTGTGAGTTTACAATCTGCCATTAATGCTGCTATTATTGAAGTAAGTACTTAACTGACAGTTTTAATAATTAACGTACACTCATTCTGGAGGCATCAAGGTTTTGATGAAAGATGAGTCATATTTTCATATGTGTCTATATAGTTCAGGTACAAGCCCACCTTGGAGATATTGCGGATTGGGTTCTAGACCACCCCAATAAAGCAAATATCACAGTAAAGTGAGTCATGCAAACTGTGTGGTTTCCCAGTGCGTATAAACATCATGTGTACACTATACTACTCTCTACTGTAGTCTATCACATGTGCAAAAGTCTGAAATATTAGAGAATGACTAAAATGTGGTTCTGCACTATGAAGTGACTACATTCTATAAGAACAATGGCGCCCGTAGACTTAGTCAATGCAGGATTGTTACAGACCTTCAATTTGTGACAATTTCAGTATCTATGGAACACAGTAAAGCAAAGCATTGTAAAACGAGGTATGCCTTCATATTAAGGAGACCTGGCCATGTTGTAGGTTAAGCATTTGGCTGCTAATTACAAGGTTGGTGGTTGAAACCCATCAGTAACTTCTCAGGAGAAAGATGAGACATTCTGCTCCTGTAAAGATTTACAGTCTCAGAAGGCTTTGAGAGCAGTTCAGTAGAACTCTCTCTAGTACAGAGTACTGTCCTAGAGGATCACTATGGATCAGAATCCACTCAATGGCAGTGGATGGTGGTGGTGTCCTATATAGAAATGCTGAAAATTGGATTTAGACAAATGACATCTTGCTGTTTTTTAAGACTTTGTATTTTCAAATAAGTGTGAAAGTTTCAAGTACAATGTCCAGGAAGGTCCCACGTGCTCTTCCTCCAGTTTTCCCAGCTCTCTCTACTGTTAACCCGTATGGCTGACAACTCATACCCAACCAACTGGTGATCTGCTTCTACAAATTTTCAGCCCCAAACACCACATATATTTACTCTGTAATCTACAGGGTTGACATGAGGCAAAATGGACTCAACAGAAAGAATTTGGTTTGGTTTGCTTTATAGTTTTCCATAATATTGTTGTTGTTATGAGTTGCTGTCAAGTGCCATGGTGCCACTGGGTGGGTTTGAACTGCCAATATTGGGATTTCGTAGTCCAGCACAAACCATTTGCAGCACAGAGAGCTCTTCTGTATAACTGTGTGTAAACAATCCATCCTATTGCCATTCAAACAATTCGGACTCATAGCTGACCTACAAGACAGTGTGTAGCTGCCCCATGGGGTTTCCAAGGGTGTGAGTCCGTAGGATACGTACTGAACTGTTAACCACAAGGCTTTCTGCTTCCATAAAGATTTACAGCCTTGGAAACTCCGTAGAGGGCCGCTCTGAGTCAGAACCGATTTAGTAGTACCTGAGAAGGAGCTCTGGTAGCATAGTGGTTACGAATCAGGCTGCGAACCTTAAGGTCAGTGGTTCGAAACTACCAGCTGCTCCGTGGGAGAAAGATGAGGCTTTCTACTCCCATAAAGATTTACACCCTCGGAAACCCTGTACAGGGTCGCTATGGGTCGGAACCGACTCGACGGCACTTAACAACAACAACAAGAACAAACAACAACAGCTGTGTTTATGGAAGCAGACTGCAACATCTTTCTACCACAGAGTGGCTGGTGGGTTTCAACCACTGACCTTTTTTTTTTTTGCTTGCCAACTGAGCTCTTGAATGATAGCCCCACCAGGGCCCCTTGCATGAGTACAAAACTAGGAAGCAGGCATTGATAAGATCCACAGGAAGTCCCACCTTGGTCCACACATTAACTGTTTCCTTGGTGCAACCCACAGAGCTTATTCCAATTCCACCAGTTTCTATACATTAACTAGGACTCCTGGTGTGGTGCTGTAGGATCAGCACTGGACTGCCCACCACAAAGTCTGCTGTTCAAATCCATCAGCTGCTCCTCGGAAACCCTATACAGGGTCACTGTGAGTCGTGACCTACTTGATGGCAGGTAACAACAACACACATAACTAATGGTTTTGTTCGTTTGCATCTTTCTTTAGATCACAACAAATCACTCTGTGATGGCGGAGTTAATGTCAGTTACTGGTATAAACATGAAGATACTACCTTTTATTTCTAAAGATATATTTCAAAATGAGTCGTTTATTTTCTTCTGCTTGGTTTATTTCTCCTCTTTCATATATTTTGCATCGCTCAATGTTACAAAAGAAAGAAAAAAGTTTAAGGATTTAATGAAAATGATGGGCCTACAAGACTCAGCATTCTGGTGAGTGATCGATTCACGTTGTTATCCTTGATGTCAGTTGCTGGTAGGGCAGTCTGGACTCCTGGTGAACCTGCGTACACATGAGCCCAATGTCATAACCATTCCCATGTCTGAGTCCATTGACACTGTGGGTTTTGATGGTCTTATCTTCTATGGAGAGGAAGTCCTAGTGGCGAAGACGATTAGTTGTTGAGCAGCTAACTGAAAACTCAGCAGTTTGTCCCCACTCTGTGGGAGAATGATATAGCAGTTGGCGTCCATAAAGATTGCTCTTAAATGCAATGCTATTGGGTTGCCACAAATCAGAATCCACTCGATAGAAACTGAGTGGATTTCTTTACCCTCTTATGGGTTCTGACTTCCAGCACTATATGGAACATTATTCTTTTGTGACCCAAAAGGCTTCCACAGGCTAATTTTTGGAAGTAGGTCACCAGGCCTTTTGTCCTGGTCTTAGTTTGGGAGCACCACTGAAAACTGTCCTCCAGGATGATCTTGTTACTTGACATATACAACATGTCATGCAATTCTCCAAAATACAACAGGCTAACTGATAGGTGGTGAAATTATGTAGGACATATTAACAAATTAGGGACATTAAGACATCGTGAAAAAAAAAAACACACGAAACTCTAGTTTATTTCAGAGCACTTTCATTTATTTAATTAATTAATTTATTTTTAAGTTTTAATTGTGAGGTTTACATGGGGGAACATCAGCTTTACATGGATCCTATCGTATTTAATTTCTTTGCAATGATTACCATCCACTCCATGCACCACCAGCAAACAACCTTTCTCCCTCCCTGAGTCCAGTGTCTCCAGCCGCTCCATCTGTCCACGTCATCTTCTCTGTCTCCACCCCTGGCATCACTGACTCTCTGGGTAAGGCCCCACTCTCCATTCTTCTCATTTGGTGGTCCCAGGGACCTCCTCTCCTGGACTGCAAAATCAATCACTCTCCTCCTTTTATCAAAACAACACCTACCCTGGAGACTTTAGATCCAGAGAGGGAGAGCGACTGTGTGCTGAAGACCTGGGGGGTACGGGGGAAGGATTGCATGGAGGGGATTGTAACCATGGCAATGAGACGGTATATGATAGAATGAATTAAAATTAATGTTCTCCCATGTAAACTATCACATAATTCACAATAAAACATTTAAAAGAAAAAACGAAAAAATACCCATCTACCTCTATATTTCCTCCCCTCACAGTCAGTCCTGATGGCAATTATTCACTATTATATGGCAAGAGTCTTATCCACATTTCCTTTTTTTTTTTTTTTTTTTAAAGTTTTATTGTGAATTATGTGATAGTTTACATGGAAGAACATTAGTTTTACATTCATCCTATTGTTTATTGTTTCATTGCCATGGTTACAATCCCATCTACATATCACCAATCAATGAAAGGGTACATCCTACAAGCCTTCTCTCCCCCTCCCCTGGTCATCAGCACACAGCCCGTCTCCTTCCCTGGGTCCAGAGTCCCCAGCTGCTCCATCTCTCCACGTCATCATCTCTGCCTCTATCTCCAGGATCACTGCTTCTCTGGGTAGGGTCCTGCTCTCCGCTCTTCTCCCTTCATGGTTCTAGGGACCTCCGCTCCTAGCCTGCAAAGTTAATCACTCCCCTCCTTGCCACAAAATGTCTACTTTTACATTTACAACCTTCACAATCAGTCCTGGTAACAATTATTCACCCTTGTATCATAAGAGACCAATCCGCATTTCCTTTCATCAGTTCCGCCTAGACAGATTGGATACTACTCAGTAGAGATTCTACCTTCCTCCATGCCCTCTGGATCTAGGTTCCCTTTTGAAAGCTTGTAAGCCACTCACTTCTTGCCTTTGTAACCCGCCCCAGCCCGCCCCCCCCAACATTTTGGGTAGCCAATGTCCAAGTTGTCCATCCCTGTCCACTCTGTGTATGGAGGGGGTGGGAATGAACCTTGCTGTAAAGATTTATTCCCTCTTTTGAGTTACTGCATCCATAGGCAGAGCACCTTCATTTAAACTAGTCACATTTGCTACTCTTTCTTTCTTTTCTTTTTTTTTATATCAGTTTCTATGCATTTCTATGCATTAAAATAGTGATTATAAGTTGCTACTCAGTTTTCCCTGTGTTATCACTGTGCAAAATGAATTCGGTGACAGAGGTACTATTAACAAATTGATAAACAATAAAAATGAAGTCAAAGAGAATGCACACTTATATACATATGTATATGTGTATGTGGGCATTTGTATTATTATAAAAAGCAGTTAAGGAGTAGAAAACAAAGACCTAGTAAAACAAATAGGTAAAATTAACAAATTAAGGTGCAAATCATGAAAACTCTTAAGTTTGCAAGTCACCTAAGCAGAAAAATTAGCCATACAATCAGTTTAAAAAACCTACACTGTCTAAGAAAAGGAAAAAAGAAAAAAAAAGAGGGGTGGGGTGAATAATCTATGTATTTTACCCCTAAAGAAATGCTACATTTTTGCTGTTGAATTCCAAGAAAGATATCCATGTACACACACCATATCAAGAAAATGCTTTTCATAGATGTTAAATTAATGAGGAGTCAGTTATTTAACAATCCTTTGTAAGTCATGTGCTCCCCTGAAATGACACAATGACGTCAGAAGTTTTGTCTTTTCTAGAATGATATTTTAAGAACAGAGAGATTTTCATTTCAACGAACATGAATTGCGAAATAGCAAAAGAGGAAAGTGTCTTGGAACAAGAATAAAAGAGAGATGAGCTTTGACGGGAACTTTGTAAAACGCAAAGGAATAAGCCTCCAGAGCCATCTGAAGATCTCATAGAAGGAAACAGTGAGAGGACCCCTCTCAGTCCAGGGCATGGTTTTCAGGGCAGCATCTCAGTGCCCACCTGAGACCAGAGAGAATGAAAATCAGACCAGTAATGGATGCTTGAATGGGATTCAGCCTCTACAGACAAACGATTCTGATTCTGCATATGGACTATGTTGTTGTTATAGTTAAGTGCCATCGAGTTGATTCCCACTCATAGTGACCCTTTATAGGATTTCCCAGGAGTGGCTGGTGAGCTTGAATCACTGACCTTGCGGTTCAAACCGACTTTGCAGTCTGGCACATTAACCCACAGCAACACACCAATAGTCAATATTTATTGCAGTGTGATATCTCCAACTGCTTTGTTGTTTGCAGAGGGGGCTACGTAGGTTTATTAACTTCTTGCCCTTGCAACCAGTTCCTTTTTCTAAGTAATGTTCTAATTTCCTTCATTTGTAATTTTTCCTGCTTGTAGGTTTTCATTTCCTCACTAAAGTAGCTGCAGAACTTAGAAGGAGGGTTCTGCAATGTGTGGATTCTTAAAAAAATGTGGATATTGGTCACATTGACTGAATCATGATAATGATGTGAAATTTAAAAAGAAGCCACATAAACAAGTACCAAATCCAGAATATTCTGCTGAGACATACTGCTGTAATGTCCTGGATTCATGCTTCTGCTACATTCTCCCACACTTGCATTCTTTAAGTTGGGCAGTCTTCTATGGAGCAATGGCCCCCAGACTAAAGGAGGCCTGTGGCATCATCTTAGCTCTGTGGCTGATTTGCTCTGTAACCTTGGGTTAGCTTTTCCTCATCTGTGAAATGAGGAGCTTGCACTAAGATTTCTTCTAGGCTTGTAACAGATTAAAATTGGATACTGTTCTTTATGACCAGCTTATAAAGATATGAACAGCTCAGTTAAAGCACAACACTGAGAGCGTTTGCAGGTATAAAATAAGTGGCATCAATTTAAGTCAGCTCGTGAATGGGAATGGCAAGAATGGAATAGTCTGAACGACAACACAAGGGATTTTACTTTTCCTCCATGAAGGAGAGTGGATGGGCGGTCTCCTGAGACCCTCAGGAACGGTTCCTATCGACCACTGATGCTTCCGTAGTTACTTGATGGATCAGCAGCTGTTAATTTCCCTTCCAATTCAACCATTGGAATCGTTAAAAAAAAAAAAAATCATTGTGCCTTTTCCCAAGAAGACTAATACAAGAATATTCTTAGCAGCATTGTAATAATAACCATAAAAAATGGAAATAACCTAAATGTCCATGGGCAAGAGAACATTATAAATACCTTTGTTGTTGTTAAGTGCTATCGAGTTAATTCTGACTCACAGTGATCCTATGTAGGGTTTCCAAGGAGCAGCTGGTGGGTTTGAACTGCCAACTCGTGGTTTGCAGTCCGGTGCTTATTTTACAGTGCTACATTGTATGTCTATATAGTGAATATTATATAGTATCAAACCAACCCAGCTGCTCTGTGGGAGACAGACCTGGGGATTGGTCCCTGTAAGGACCACAGCCAAGGCAGCCCTGTGGGGCAGTGCTCCTCTGTCCTGTAGGGTCTCAAGGAGTCGGAGTGGACAGGATGGCAGCTCTAACAACAACAATACACTGTTGTTAATGCTAGTTGATAAAGGCAGGTTGCAGATGTATGATCCTCCTTGTTGTTGTTGTGAAGTGCCATTGAGTCAGTTCTGACTCTTCACAACCCTGTATAGGGTTTCCAAGAAGCAGCTGGTGAGTTTGAACCACTGACCTTGCAGATCAGCGCATTATCCTGCCGCGCCACACCAGGACTCCATGATCCTCCTCATACACTACTTATCTAGGAGAAGGACATAGAGCTGATACCCAGCCTGGACGGCCTGCAAAGCCACGCCAACGTTCACAGTCACATCATTGGGTTTGGCATCCTTTTCTGGTTGGTTGATACCAGAGTTGTACCAGTGTTCAGCGTCTTGAGTGTCCCCCCGCCACCTGTGTATGAAGTAAAGGTGCAGGGGATTGTGAACAGACATTTAGATAAGAGGCTATTATTGGGAGGGGGCAAGGGTCACTGAGATCAGAGACGCTGTGGACAGTGCGCTTCAAACTCTTTTCAGCTATTAACCTAGATGGCAAGTATAAGGGCCATCATTGTAGTATTCTTTGGGTATTGATGCAGATTTTAAATGTTTTGTAAAAACTTCAAATAATTGACATTCTTTCTGTTTCTCCTTAGGCTCTCCTGGGGTTTAATCTATGTTGGCTTCCTCTTCATTTTCTCCATGTTAATTACAATTGTCATAACATCTCAACAAATCATAGTCATGACGGGCTTCATGACAATATTCACGCTCTTTTTTCTATATGGCTTGTCTTTGGTAAGTTCATAGACTTGTTGTCACTTTCCCTGCTGTGGTCTTAGCTGTCTGTAACAAATAGGAATGCCTCCATGTTGTGAGAGTCGTCTGGTTCATGTCCATTTGTCTTTGTGTCTGTTTGAAAAGTCTTTCTGGGTGTGAGAAAGTGATGTAACTCTTAGGACCTCCTGTTTGCATAAGGATCTGAATTGATTATTCGGGAGGATTTCATTTCAGAGTGCTGCTGCCCATTTGAAAAAGCCTATGGAATATACTTCCTGTCTGTGGGGCTTCCCTGTAGAATAAAAGCTAGGTTTTCAAGGCAATCAACCACCATGTCTCCAGGGCTGGCATCACAGGAAGGCCAAGGAGGTGACCCAACAGGGTATGAGGAGAGGCTGGGAGGAGCCCAGACAAATGTTATCTGGAAAAATGGGAGAGGGGCTTCTAAAGAGATGAATTTTGTGTTCTTGGCAAGTTTTCCTGTGGCAGGCTGTAAACTAGCTCTAGTTCCCAATGAATAAGAAGTTTTGCATTAGCCAAAAGGGAAAAAAAAAAAAAGTTTTTAACTCTAAATATTGCCAAAGACCATTCTAAGTGATGAACGTTAATGTACACGTCTTTCCCAAGGCCCCTGTCTCTGATCAGTTGCTCTTCTTCCTCACATAGCCCTCCTTGTAGTAATTTCTCACTTCACTCCCCTTCTGTACTCTGAACAAGAGCCTCTAATCTTTCTTCCCTTCTGGGATGTTTCCTTAGTCCATTAAAAACAAACAGACAAACTAGGTGCCCTTGAGTTGATTCTGGATCATGGTGACCCTATAACATTTACAAGTTGTTGTTGTTGTTGTTAAGTGCCGTCGAGTCGGTTCCGACCCATAGCGACCCTGTACAGGGTTTCCGAGGGTGTAAATCCTTACGGGAGTAGAAAGCCTCATCTTTCTCCCGCGGAACGGCTGGTAGTTTCGAACCGCTGACCTTAAGGTTCGCAGCCCGATTCGTAACCACTACGCTACCAGAGCTCCTTAACATTTTTTTTGCAATATATCACCATTCTTTCTTAAAAAGCACTTCTTAATGGTCCCAAATGTCCAGCCTCTATGTTACCAGATGAGCACATTCACATTTGCACCCTCAGGAACTCCTAGTCCATTGATTTACCTTCCTTCAACTTTCTAAGTGTTCAGTTCTACCTTTTCCTTATCTCTACCACCATCTGTTTCCTACCGTTTCCACCGCATCCAAAGCCCAGTCTTTTAGATATAGCAAGTAAGCATCCTCTTTGAAAGGAGGTTGCAGGCAACCCTGATAAGTAAGTAAGTAAGTAAATAAGTAAGTAAGTAAGTAAATAAATAAATAAGTAAGTAAGTAAGTAAGTAAGTAAGTAAGTAAATAAATAAATAAGTAAGTAAGTAAGTAAGTAAGTAAGTAAATAAATAAACAAACAAACAAACAAACAAACAAACAAAAGGAGTTTGAAGAAAGGATGGAGAATAACTATCGTAATATCGTCACCATCATTTTAATGGTCACTATTTTTATGATGATAAAAAGCCCTTATTTTCTTGAGCAGGAGCCCTGGTGGTGCAGTGGGTTAAATGTTAGGTTGCTAACTGAAAGGTCGGTGGTTCGAACCCACCAGCCGCTCCATCTTGGAAACCCTAGGGAGCAATTCTACTCCGTCCTCAAGGGCTGCAACGCATTGGAATAGACTCAACAGCACCTAACACCACCACCCAATCCTATTGCACTAACAGTGACTCTCTGTGAACGCCATAGACAATGGCTGACCATCTCCTCCCTCTTTCAGATAGCGTTAGTGTTCCTGATGAGCGTGCTGCTGAAGAAAAGTTCCCTCACCAGTTTAGTTGTGGTTCTCCTGACGCTCTTTTGGGGGTCTGTGGGGTTGACGGTATTACACAAGCAACTTCCATCATCGCTGGAGTGGATTCTGAGTATCTGTAGTCCCTTTGCCTTCGTTGCTGGGATGGCTCGGGTAAGAACGTAGTGAATCTGTTTGTTACATGATACTTTCAGTATTCCTTTCCAACATCATAACTCAAATGCATCAATTCTTCTATGGTCTTCCATATTCATTGTCTAACTGTCTCATGCATATGAGACAATACATACACGTATAAATATACAAATATATATGTAGATAGTCCTGCTGTGACGCCGTAGGATAAGCACTGGACTGCCAAAATTATGGTTGTCAGTTCAAACCCACCAGCCACTCCTCAAAAACCCTATACAGGGTTGGTATGAGTCAGAACTGGCTCAATAGCTTTTAACAACAACATGAAGATAGATAGATAGAGATAGACAGACGGACGGACGGACGGATGGATGGATAGATGGAAGGGGAGGAGTTCTGGTGGCATGGTGGTTTACTCATTGGGCTGCTAGCCACAGGGTTGGTGGTCTCAATCCACTAGCCACATACTCCACAGGAGAAAGATGAGATTAAATGTTCCCATAGAGATATACAGCCTTGGAAACCCTATACATAGTCAACATGAGGCAGAACCCACTCTATGGCACATAACAATAACAAATATACATAACTCTTTACCTTACTTTTCACATCACAAAAGGAAACATTCTACTAGATCATTAAAAGACAGTTGCAAAAAAAAAAAATTTGTTTTCTGTAAGTTTTTTATTGTGAACTGAGTGATAGACCATTGGCTTTACACCATCATTTCATTGCAATGATTACAGTCTCCTCCATGCATCATCATACAACAGTATTTGCTTCCATTCCTTGTTTTGTTTTGTTTTGAGGGCTGGACACAGAAACACTCAAGAATATATAATAATTGAAACAACCAAAGGGCACATTCTGCAAGCCTGCCTCCTGGCCACCAGCACTCAGTCCCTCTCTTTCCATGAGTCCAGAGTCCCCAGCTGCTCTCTTTCTCCATGTCCCCATCTCTGCCTCCATATCTGGTGTCGCTGCTTCTCTGGATAAGGTCCCACACTCTGCTTGTGCTCTTCTCTGTTGATGGTCTTAGAGTCCTTGGTTGCTGGCCTGTAAGATTAGCTACTCCCCTAGTTTTGTTAGAAAACTTCTACCTTTACAGTTGTGACAGTCGTGATTAGTCATGATAACAATTTTTCACTATTGAATCATAAGAATTTTGTCCCCATCTCTTTTCACCAGACCCGTCTAGACAAGATAGAAACTTTTCAGTGGGGACTCTACATTCTCCCACACACTCTTAAACTAAACTCCTTGAAACCTTGTAAGCCAGTCACTTTGTGTCTTTATTGCCCCCTCATTTTAGGTAGCCAATGCTTAACTTGCCCGTCCCTATCTACCCTGTGTACAGAAGGGATAGGATTGATACTTGATGTAAAGACTCCTTCCTTCTCAGTTGGTATTTTGAGCTACTACATCCATAAGTATAGGTCAAGTTCATCAAATTGTAGCAATTTAAACTCAGTAAAAATATTTTTTAAATGACATTTTGTGAGCTATAGGCTAAATATGAAAAAAATCAAAGTATAAATAGTTTAACAAACAAATATAAAGCGAATCAAAGTAATGATGAACCAGGTAAAGGAATAGACTATTTCAATCCTTCCAGAAACTTTGTACACACTCTTTTCTACCAAAGCTGATATTAACTTTTATGATAATCACTTTCTTGATTTTCATTTCTACCTAAATGTGTATCCCTAAATATATGTTTCTTAAGTTTTGCCTATTTTTAAATTCTATATAAGTAATAGTATATCAAATGTAGTTTTGAAAATCTGAGTTTTTCATGCAACGTTACATTGTTAGATGTCATCTGTAGTTTGGTTGTAGTTATGTGTATTGTTGGAGTCCTGGTGTGGCCCAGTAGGGTAGGTACTGGCCAAAGGTCACTTTGAACTGTAAGGTCAGAGGTTCAAACCCACCAACTTTTCCTTGGAAATCCTATACAGGGTCACTATGAATCAGAATAGACTCTAGGGCATTTAACAACAACAATAACAAATATGCATTATTATTTTTAAACTATTTCCACAAACTTTTTGAGGCCCACATAATATTGTATTGTATGAATACACTATCAATTTTTCTAGTAATAACAATAATAGTTTCTAAGTTAGGATTATTAATATTAAGAATGCAGCTACAAATATTCTTTTACATGTATCTCAGTGAATACAGGCATTCAGATCTGTTTGTTATAACTGCAGGATTTGAATAGTGGGATCTAGTAGGATAGTGGAAGTGGTTATAAGCCGTGGAGTCGGCTCCGACTCATAGCAACTCTGTTTAGGGTTTCCAAGGCTATAAATCTTTACGGGAGCAGAAAGCCACATCTTTCTCCCATGGAACCACTGGTAACTTCAAACTAATAACCATTAGATGAGCAGTCTGACTCATAACTACTATACTACCAGGTCTCCTTGGGATCTATTACGTGTATATCTTAATCTCTGGGCTACTACTGCCTAGTATTTTTCCAAATACAAATGTTAAGTACCATTCTAAACATCTGTACCACCAGAGATCCAGTTACCCCGTGTCTTCACCAACACTTGGTATTATCAGTCTTTCAGATTTTAGTTATGCTGATACATATGTAGCAATGTATCATCAGGAAGCTAACTTGCATTTCCCTGATTTTTATTATATCATGTGATGTTTCACATGTTTACTGATACTTGTCATATGTTGAATTTTTTTTTTCTATTATAATTTGCCAGTCAAGCTCATTTTCCCATTTCTATACTAAGTTGTCTATTTTTTCTTCCTTATCGATTTGTCAGAACTGCTCATTTCAATTTCTTGTTACTTGCTTTTTTACCAAATCTTACTTTTTGATGAATGCTGTTGTTGTTACATGCTGTTGAGTCAGTTCTGACTCATGGTGACCCATGTATAGGGCTTCAGAGGAGTTGCTTGTGGGTTTGAACCACTGACCTTGAGGTCCAGTGCTTTACTTACAATGTCACACCAGGACTCCCTATGAATAGAGGTGATTGATTTTGATAGGGTCCAATTTAGTAACTTGTTTTCTTTATACAAAGTGTTTTTGTGTCTGTTTAAGAAATCTTTACCTATCCCAAGATTATGAAATATTCTCCTATTTTATTCTGGAAGCTTGGTTGCTAAACCTTTTGCATTTAGATGCATGTTGTTGTTGTTAATTACCATCAAGTCACTATGAGTTCCAACTCATAGTGACCATGTAAAGGGTTTCAGAGGAGCGGCTGGTCAGTTGGAAAACATACTCCATTTCAAATAACTCCTGAATATATATTTGTAGAGGTCAATGTGAACATTTATACATGAGTATCCAGTTGATCAGCTCTATTTATTGATTATGAACATTCAATTTATTAAATATGAGTATCCAATTGCAGCGGCTCTGTTACTGAATGAAGTAGTTCCTTCGTTGTCGTCACTTGCCCATTTCTCTCGCCTTGCATTCACACCATATTGTTTTAATTGTTGAACTTTGTACACCTTGATATCTGCTTTAGTTATTAGTTTCACTGAGTGGACACTGACTCAAAACAATCCCGTGTGTGCATTGTAGAACCGTACTCCATAGAGCTTTCAAAGCTCTAACCTTTGAGATTGGAGTCCTGATGTGGCACTATAAGGTAAGCACTGGACTGCAAAGGTCATATTGAACTGTAAGGTCTGCAGGCCACACTCACCACCCATTCCTTGGAAACCCGATACAGGGTCACCATGAATCAGAACCAACTCAATGGCACTTAACAACAACAACCTTTGCAAAGATTACCAGATCTTGCTTCCAAGGTGCTTCTGGGTGATTTTGAACTGCCAACTTTTTAGCTAGTAATTCACTGCCTAGGTATCTAATACACCCAGAGAGAGTTTTACCACTTAATTTTTTCAAGAGAGGCTTGTCTAGTCTAGGTCCTTTACAATGATGTAAATCTTAGAATTTGCTTCTTATGTTATATATATGTAGACATGTGTATACGTATATGCAGACATGTGTACATACAAGGCTGCTGACATTTAGATGTATATTCAGACATGTGTATATGTATAT